ATATATATATAAAATTGACTTGATGTAACTGCTTATTCAATATATATGTTGAATGAATGAGGAACTTCTTTTACTTTACAGGATCTAACAAGAATACATGTGAATAACAACTTGGAAAAAAAGGAGATTTTAGATATGTGTTAGTAGAATGGTATTAATAATGCAATAGCTAATTTAGAGATTGGGCCCTCCAGGAGTTTGGTAGAAAACTAATATTACTCACTGAGAATTTGAATGTACTTCAAGGAATGAGGATCTAGCAATTATAGCATAAATATTAATTGACCAGATGAGGCTAGCAGGTTCACTAATTTTAAGTGACATGTTGGGAAGCCCAGGCCTTTGTGAAAATGGACAAATAGAATAGTGTCATAAATGCAAATAATACATGTTTTTTTTTTCTTTGAGCTTTATATACAAACCATTATTATTATTATTGGTACATAGAGGTCTTGATTTAATCTAATTTCTTTTTTAAAGCTAAGAGCAGACGGCAATCCAAACCTTATAAACCTAAAAAGATAATTAAGATGGAAGGAAAGATTGTGGTGTATACAGCCTGCAATAATGGAAGTAGTTCTGTTATTTCTAAAGATGGAGAACTCTACATGTTTGGAAAAGATGCCATTTACTCTGATAGTTCAAGTAAGTTAAAAAAAAGTTTTATGCAAAGAAGTTTCAGTATTAGTTTTGTATGACAAAGACATATCTAGAAAATTTATGTTTGTAGCATGCTTTCTCTACATTTTTTACATTTCCTTCCAAATGTGAAATATTTTGAAAGAGAAATTCTCTGTCATATCTTGTCATTAGGAGCACTGTCCCTAGTTTCGTACAGAGCTAATCATAGAGCTTGGCAAGGGAAGCTTCACTGTAGCTGTGACTTCTGTGGAATGCTTTCCCTAGATTCAGGTGCTTATGGGACATGTCCCTGAGACAGTGGCAGTATCCTGGGGAAGTGATTTTCATGACAAAGCTAGTTTATAATTGTTGAAGTATTTTTTCTCCCCCATTAGGGTGTTTGGCTGGGATGATCTGTCTTACTTACTGTTCTATCCCCAGTGCCTAGCACAGTGTCTGCCACGTTGTAGGGTCTCAAGAATTATTTTCTAGTGTCTGGGTGACTGATAAACCAAGTTTAAGAAGTGGATATGAGGGGTGGAACTAGCTAAATCGTTTTATATTTATAAATGCTAATCTCCAAAACTTGTCACATTTGGTTACTAGATTTTCTTTCTAGCAGCTAGAAATGAATATAATGAATGAGGCATCCCACTTGGAAGGATTTTATGTGTGATAAGTATGTAAAACCTTTGAGTTTCTTTGGAAAAAAGGAAATTAGAATTAATGAAGTTTATAATTAGAAATTTATGTGATTGTCTCATGCTGGGGAAATTACACCTGTAGAACATTTATAGCCATTAATTATTAAGTCAAGAGGTACCCAGATGATAAGTGAACTGGCTTAATGCTATAATATTTAGATTCTCATTTGGAAGCAGCTATCAGAGTAAATCAGAATTTGGGAGTGGGCTCTTGTACACTTTAAAAATAATATTCAGAATAATTGTTGCTTACTAACATTCACTGGGTAGAGCTGATGGAAACTTGTATATCTCTTCAACATATATTTATTGAGCATGGATGATACGTCAGTGATTGATGGACCTGTCAGACCTGGTTACTGCCTTTTTAAGGATCTGAAGGACAGTTGGGTATTAGAGGACTTAAATGCTGGGGAAGTGGCATTGAATGGTTATGGACATAGACTCAGAGCCTAGCATCAACACTTTTTTTTTTTGGTGGGGGTGGGGATGGAGTCTCACTCTGTCCCCCAGGCTGGAGTGCAGTGACGCAATCTCAGCTCACTGCAACCTCTGCCTCCTGGGTTCCAGCGATTGTCCCACCTCAGCCTCCCAAGTAGCTGAGATTATAGGCACACACCACGACGCCCAGCTAATTTTTTGTATTTTTAGTAGAGATGAGATTTCACTGTGTTGGCCAGGCTGGTCTCGAACTCCTGACCTCAAATGATCCACCTGCCTCAGCCTCCCAAAGTGCTGGGATTACAGGCGTGAGCCACCGCACCCAGCCCCTGGCACCAACACTTTTAAGTGGGTAACAGTTTTCTTAACCTTTAACTGCGTATTGGTTTACTTAACGTTTAAGAGTTTTCTTTTTGTTTTTTTTCTACCTGCAAAAAATAATGATAGCACCTGCTTCATATGGTTGTTATGAAGATTATAGGAGGTAGAGCTTAAGAAATGCTTAGCACATCATGTAAGGTCTCAAAACATGTCAGCTAGTACTGTTAATAATAAATAACTACTGTTTTATATATACACACACATACACTTAACCTTTTTCAAATGTGCTAGATATTAAAAGTGGAAATTTTTGAGGTATAATTAACAAAAAGACCTAAGCTAGTGTAAGGTGAAAATGAAGGCCACCTCAAGGTAGTGATATCTGAGCTAATAATGTAGAACAGTTTTCCCAAAGCATACTGTGAGATTGATATTATTTGTAATTTAAAACAAATACTTGAAAACGTGTTTTTATTTTAATGTATATTGGAAAAATAGTCAATAATCTTTATTAATGTTATTACTACTTGATAAGGTTGAAGATGCTACGATCAATTTAGAGTTGATACAAAACATATTAAATAGATAATATGAGTGGCACTTGGATATGACAAGTATAATGAAAATAATATATGGATAAGTGAAGTTTAGAAAATAGTTGTGTATTGGATTATGGAAGAAAGCATTGTAGGTTGAAAAGGATTGAAAAATACTGTTTGGAAAGTCTCACTAGTTTCTACAAAAACAATTTCATGTCAATACACTATGGCAAATATTTTACTTTGTTTTGCTGAGGCAGGTCAAAGCAGGTAAAACAAATTATTTATGGACTCCTTTGTGCTTAGACCAGAAAAGTTTGAGATTTTCTGACCCTTCTGAGTACTGTGGAGAGGGGTTACCATTTGGAGGAAGCATTCAGGAGAAGTAAGCTTGAGAGAAAGCTACAGTAAAGTTATGCCCCAAGTCTGGATGATAACCTTTTAGGATTCATTGAAGCTACATTACAATGTTACAAAGTTAATTCAGTGATACTCTGCCAGACTTTTGGCTACTTATTTCTCATTTTGTTAAGTTATTTTGCCCCAGAAATAAACAGTTCTGTATTGAGGTAGTTCTTTTACTAGGCTCAGAAGGGCCTTTTTATTGTGTTTAGTAAATTTGTTTCTTTCCTTTAGGTTTGGTAACTGATTTGAAGGGCCATTTTGTAACTCAGGTAGCTATGGGCAAAGCTCACACTTGTGTTTTAATGAAGAACGGAGAAGTGTGGACATTTGGTGTAAATAATAAAGGACAGTGTGGACGAGACACTGGTGCCATGAACCAAGGTGGGAAAGGTAGGTCTTTAATTCTTAGATATTACAATTTGTGTTGTCTATTCATTAGTTTTTCAGAACAACATAGTGAAAAGTCTTGTTCTTTTCAAAATGAGTGGCTCTTCTTTTTCTTTTTGTTCCTATTTAAATTTTTAAAAAATTTTTGATGGATAGATAGTAGGTATGTGTACGGGGTACATGAGTTATTTTGATACAATGTGTAATAATCACATTAGGGTAAATGGTGTCTCCATCATCTCCAGCATTTGTCCTTTCTTTGTGTTATGAACATTCCAATTGTACTCCCTCTGTTGTTCTAAAGTGTACAACAAATTGTCACCAACTGTAATCACCCTGCTGTGCTATCAAATAGTAGATCTCTTGAATCTAATTATGTTTTTATGCCAACTAACCATCCCATTTCTCACCCACTCTCCCCGACTACCTTTCCCAGCCTCTAGTAACCAGCATTGTACTATCTTCATGAGTTCAATTATTTTAATTTTTAGCTCCCACAAATGAGTGAGAACATGTGAAGTTTGTCTTTTGATGCCTGCCTTCTTTCACTTATCATAGTATCCTCCAGTTACATCTTGTTGCAAATGATAGGATCTCAGTCTTTTTTATGGTTGAATAGTACTCCATTGTGTTTATGTACCACATTTTCTGTATCCATTCATCTGTTGATGGACACTTAGGTTGCTTCCAAATCTTGGCTATTGTGAATAGTGCTGCAATAAACATAAGAGTGCAGGTATCTCCTTGATGTAGTAGTTTCCTTTCTTTTGGGTATATTCGTAGCAGTGGGATTGTTGGATCATATGGTAGTTCTAGTTTTAGTTTTTTGGGGAAGCTCCATACCGTTCTCCAGAGTGGCTGTACTAAATTTACATTCTCACCAACAGTGTACCAGTGTTCCCTTTTCTCCACATCCTCTCCAACATTTGTTATTGCCTGTCTTTTGGATAAAAGCCATTTTAACTGGGGTGAGATGATATCTCAGTGTAGTTTTGATTTGCATTTCTCTGATGATCCGTGATGTTGAACACCTTTTCATATACCTGTTTGCCATTCATATGTCTGCTTTTGAAAAATGTCTATTCAGATCTTTTTCACATTTTTTTAATTGGATTTGAATGGCTCTTTGACTTTATACTTGTGAATTAGGAAAACCACTGAATTTCTTATTTATTTGATAATATTTACGATAAAATATCACCGGAAAAGCAAATATACTTTAGATTTTTTATTTTTGAGCAAATGAGCTGGCTTACTCAAATCATCTTCTAAATTCTACATAAAATAATGCTTCTTTGACTTAGCATCTTTGATGACTACATTACCCCAGAAAAGTCTTTTCCAAACTTTTTGCTTTTATACCACATGTTTGAAATTTTAACCATTTTTGACAGTAGTCTATCTGGCAAATATTATCATCCCATTTAACAGCACATGCTACCTGTAATTTAACCTGTTCTTGACAACTAAGAGTGATCCTTATGAATATCTGACACTTTACCAAGAAAAGACTAAATTGTAGACACATCTTCTTCACAGTATCCTTTGCCCCAACCCTCAGGCCATTGAAGAGAACGAAGGTCGTTATCCTTTGATTGCCCTGTATTTTGTGGTCTTGTTTTGTTGTTGTGGTTTTAAATAGCATGTCTACTTCTTGCCTTCAATTTTTACATCTAGCTGCTATCATTATGTTTATACCTTTCACTGCAATTTCTGATTTTCTGTTTTAAATTTTGTATGGACAAGAGAATAAAACAGTACATATATATTATTAGAACTAAGCATTGAACTTTAGTTAAAGTACCAATAATTTCGAGGATTAATGCTGTATAAAATAATAGAACCTGGTTTTTCTGTTTTGAGGCTTTGATGTCAGACTCATGTGGATCTCAGGAATCCAACCTTCTTTGTCTTTGCCTTATTTGTGTGTCTGTGTGTGTATTTAAAATGCATCACTTTAAAAATGAGCAAGTTATTAGAATATATTGGCAAATGAAGAAGGAACAAAAGAAAGAAATGGATTACTTCACAATGGAAATACTTTGATTTGCTAAATTAGTGAACTTGTTTTGGACAATAACTGCTAGGACAAAGGGGAGAATCAGTTTTTTTTTTTTAATGTATGTTCAGACTATGTTTTAGAAGAAGTCTGAACTGAAAAACATTGTTTCCTCATTATTCTGAAACTCTTTTGTGAAAATTGAGCATAAATTTACATTTGTGTTCTAGATTCTTCAGTGAAATTTTGTAATAATCAAAGTAAAATTGTTAAAAGATTTTTTTAATAGGAATGATACGTACCCTCTTGGTAAGTAATGAATTAGAAAGCAGATGAGTAAAGTAAGACACATACAATGCATACTGATTGCAGAGTCATAACAGATGCTGGGGAGGATGTGGAGAAAGGGGAATGCTCATACATGGCTAGTGGAAATGTAAATTAGTACAGCAACTAGGGAAAACATAGATTTTTCATTCGTATGAAGGTGACTCAAAAAACTGAAAATAGAACTGCCACATGATCCAGCAACCCCACTTCTGGGTATATGTATCCAAAAGAAAGGAAATCTGTATGTCAGAGAGATGCCAGCATTCTCATGTTTATCACAGCAGTATCTGCAACAGCCAAGATATGGAATCAACTTAAGTGTCCATCAGCAGATGAATGGGTAAAGAAAAATGTGATACATACGCAATAGAATATTATTCAGCCCTAAGAAAAGAATGAAATCTTGTTATTTGCAGCGACATGGATGGAACTGAAGGACATGAAGTTAACTGAATAAACCAGGGACAGAGAGACAAATATATGTGGGAACTAAAAAATTGATTTCATGGAGGTAGTAAATAGAATAGTGATTACCAGAGGCTTATAAGGATAGTGAGAGGGGGCGAAGAAGAGGGGTTGGTTAATAGGTACAAAAATACAATTAGAGAGAAGAAATAAGTTCTAATGTTCAGGAGCAGAGTAGGGTGAATGTCGTTAACAACAACATATTGTATATTTCAAAATAGCTAGAAGAGAGCACTTAGACTATCCCAGTTACCCCGACTTGATCCCACTTACCCTGATTTGATCATTAGGCATTGGATGCATGTATGAAAACTCACATGTATGCCATAAATAGGTACAACAGTTATGTATCAATTTTAAAAGAACATAAAGGAATATTTTAAAAGTTTATTTAAACCAGGAAAGTACAGAAAATATTGAAGTATTAAAAAATTGTGTATGTACCATGTCTTGTCATTTTTTTTCAGTTAAAAAAAAATCACAGATAAGATTCAAGTGCCCCATATTCCCCTTCTAAGGCTTATTATCATATTCCATTTCTCTCCAGAGCTAACCGTGATCATGACTTTGATAAGTATATGTTCAGTCATGTTCATATATATTTTTACATGTTCTTTTATATTTTATGTGTAAAATAATATTGCATAATCATGTCTCTTTTACACATAAAAATATACTACTGTTTTATGTGTTTTTTTAAGTGTTAATCTGTTATTTATATTTTTCTACAAATTGTTTTTTTCCTCATCATTCTGTTAGAAATTTGTCCATGTTGGTTCATATAAATTTAAATGATTTATGTAAACTAATGTGTAATATACCACACAATGAACATGCCATAGTGTATCCATTCTCCTGTTGATGGATGGGCTTATTTCCAATTTTTCATTGTTATAAATTAGTTTAAAACCTGCTTTATACATGTTTCCTGGCAAACGTTTGAGACTTTCTCTGGTGTGATTGCTCTGTTGTGGATTTCAGTTTTATTGGATTTTTCTTGAAAGAGATTGTAGCAGTTTATACTCTGACTGGTAGAGTTGGATTTTCCACATCACGTCAAGTACTTGATATTGACAGACTGATTTTTGTCAATTTGGTGGCTATGAAATGGTATCTTATTGTAATTTTTTGTTACATTGAAGTATAATATGCATGCAGGAAAGTATACATAGTATCTTGTTGAATTTTCTCAAATTGATTGTATTCATGTAATCAGCACCCAGATTAAGAAACCACATATTGGCCAGGCGCGGTGGCTCAAGCCTGTAATCCCAGCACTTTGGGAGGCCGAGACGGGCGGATCACGAGGTCAGGAGATCGAGACCATCCTGGCTAACACGGTGAAACCCCGTCTCTACTAAAAGAAATACAAAAAAAAAAAAAAAAAAAAAGAAACCACATATTACCAGCACCCCAGAAAGCCCCACTGTATGTTCCTGTCTGCTCCCCAGTTAATTACCATAAATTAGTTTTCTTTTTATACTTCATATAAATGAAATCATGCAGTATGAACTCTTTTGTGTCCAGTTTCTTTTCATTGTTTTATGTTTTTGAAGTTCATACATACTGTTACAAGTAGTTATAGATTGTTCATTTTTTGTTCTATTAAATTATACATAGATACTACAGTTTTAAAATTCTTTCTAGTATTTGGGTATTTGGATGGTTTCCAGTTTTGGTTATTATGAATAATATTGCTGTGAACATTCTAGTAAATGTCTTTTGGTGAAAGTCTTTAGTCATGTCTTTTGGGTATATACCTAGGAGTAGAATTGCCAGGTCTCTCATTTTTCTTTTATTTTTCATCCCCTTGGTTATTAATACTGAGTTTGAACATCTCTTCAAACTTTATTTTACTTACTTTTAAAAATTGATTTGTAGGAGCTTTTTTTGCGTATTATTTTTATATATCTTTGACTAACCTGTGGTTTAAAGTTTCATTTGTTATACATAATTTCGAAACTTTGATGTCAAAATTTCCAACCTTTTTCTTTTTAAATTTTGATGAATGTAGCCAGGTGGGAGATTTTATTTTCCATATAAATCAGAACCAACTCTATCTGCTTGACATTGTGATTGAGATTCCATTGACTGTAAAGATTAATTTGAGGATAATAGTTCCAGTACTGTTGGAATGATTAAATGAGTAATGCTTATAGAGCTAGTTACAATAGTGCTCAGTACATTTTAGCTATGATTATTAAAAATAGTCACGGAGGCTTCCTTCAGGATCACCTTATTTTAATCCTAGATATAGCTATCTGATGCTTGGTTGTCTAATTTTTCTGCTTGCCCATAGATTAGAAGTGGCAAAACCCCAAAAGGCTACATATGCTATGAGTTTATTTCTTAATTAGATAGACCTGTATTGAGTGATAGCTATATGTTAAGTGGATGTTATAAGTGTAGGAGAATAAGGTTGACTAAGAATAAGAGATAGTATGAGCAAGACATAACCTCATAACTTAGATCCTTTAGGAAAGTCAAATATAAAAAATAATTACTAGACTCCCACAGATTTGTTCTCCCATCATATGGTCCTATAGTACAGTGTTCCTTAAAAACCTTATCAGTTGTAGTTTACATTTTTATTTGGTTATTTGATTAATGTCTGTCTTTCTCACTATATTATAAGCTTTATAACAGCTCATTATTAACAGTCTTCAGTTTCTAGAGCAGAGGTCTGCAGAGTATGTAACCTGATGTCATTTTTTACATAGCCCTCCAAGCTAAAAATTGATTTTACATTGTAAGGATTGTAAAAAATGTGACAAGGATTTGTATGGGCCACAGAGCCTGAATTATTTACTGGCCCTTTATAAAAGGTTTGTTGATTTCTTGCCATGAAAGAATCCCTGGAGTATAGTAGGTGTTCAATTTAGAAAAAAAAAGATGAATGAGTTGTAGCACCATTTTAAAAAGTTGTAAGTGAGGTATAAACAGGCACTAAGGAGGTAGTGACTGACTGCCTGGAAAAGGGACTTCTGAGCTGAATTTTTGAAGGCTGAAGTTTCTCTGCTAGATAAGATAGGCAGAAGCATCTTGTAAATGAGGAAGGAAGAGGCAGAGGGAGCAAGAATGAACAAAGGCCCTGAGCATATGGAAGGACACAGAGTATTTGGAGAGCAGAGGGAAAAGAAATGAGATTGGAGAAAATTAGGAGCCATCTTGTGCCTACTGCATCTTGCTGAGTTTTACTCTTCTGAAGACCTTGGAAAGTCATTGGGGGTTTGTAAATTATGAAGTTGTGGGATCAAATACGTGCTTTGGGAGGATGATTGGTGGCAGCAGGAGGATGATCTAGAGTGGGGGACTCTTGGCGTGGAGCATGGTGGAGAGGCTTTCTTTGATCTGTTGAATGAAAGTGTTGGTAGTGAGGATGGAAAACAGGAAAAGATTTAAAAGTATGATTGGCAGATGGTAACAGTCAAGAGACATTTGATAATAGCCTTCCTTGCCTTCTTTTGCAGAAATGAAATGGGGAGAGTGTTTATTAGTGGTCTGTAAATTAAAATTTATTTTCGTTACTCAAATTTAAGCATTTCTTTGTATAATTGCTTGGATTAGCATGCTGTTGTTTTTTAAACTGGGAAATATAGTCATCCATCTTTTATACATGAAAGTAATCTGTATAACAATTATAAATTGATCTGTCAAATAGGGTTTGGAGTTGAAAATATGGCAACAGCAATGGATGAAGACCTGGAAGAAGAACTAGATGAAAAAGATGAGAAGTCTATGATGTGCCCTCCAGGCATGCACAAATGGAAGCTGGAGCAGTGCATGGTTTGCACTGTCTGTGGAGACTGTACAGGTTATGGAGCCAGCTGTGTCAGTAGTGGACGGCCAGACAGAGTCCCTGGAGGGTAAGAGAGAGTGATTCCTACTAAAGAACATGTGCAGAACACATTTCTTTGCAAAATCGTTCCAGAGTATACTCTACTATTAATATTTTTTTCTTAAAGACACCATGGCATCTTCACTTGATCTTAGCCAAAGGCCAAGAAAGTATAATTCTTAATTGTTTTCTGTTATAATAATTTATATTTTAGTGTCATTTTTAAGGTTGGCTTTCTTTCATTTGATTCATTTAAACCATTATTTAAAAACAGGTCATAAGTTTTTCAAGATTTGGGGCTGTGCCTCTATTTGTATCGTTTTTCTAAGCCTATTTACTGCCAGATATCTATTATTATTTCTTTTTGTTGAACATGAATCTTTTCTAAATAAAATTATCAATATCATATAGAGTACTTGATTAGATATATAATTTTGTTTTAAATTAAATTTACCATTTATAATTTTAGAAATTTTGTATGCTTCTAAAGTTACATCATACCTGTTATATTTATCCTTGTTCTCAAAGGACCACATTTTTCAGGGTTCTATATTATTGTAAATTTAAATTTAAAGTTAATATGTAAGTTTGGCAGAAGAATAATGCAGGTTTTCTGCTAGGATGTTAGGAAGAATTTTGAATTTGTTTTATACATTGCTAGTTATAGTCACTGTAACATAATGGGATATTCTTTGTAAGACCAGCTTTCTGATAATTGGCTGATTTGGGGGAGTAGAAAAAATTTTGTGAAGTGAAGCCCAGAAGGAAGACAGCCATCCCTGCATCTTGACCTTCCTCTTTGGCAACTCGGTAATAGTTGCTTCTTCCCAAATATTGTCTGGATCTAATAGGCGTTTATTTCTAAGTTTATGTTTGGCCTATCATAGTTAGATAGGTCATATATAACAGGCCTTTTCTTTAAGGCTGCTGAGATGTGATTTTTTAAAAACAAATTTTCTTTATATTATTAGTGTAAGCAATAAACAGTCATCTTTATTAAAGGATAATATTTATTCTGTCGTGCTTTATGTTTGGCTCTGTTTTCTGTTTTTAAGCACCTAACTTCTTTATTTTTAAATTTAATTCGGATGCAGATAGATTCTATGATTATTTTTTAACAGTGTTGGAATTGAAATTTATTCTCCTGGATCTCTCCAACACTATTTCCATTAAAATTCAATGTTAGCTGGGTGTAGTGGCCCATGTCTGTAATCCCAGCACTTTGGGAGGCTGAGGCCAGAAGATCACTTGAGGCCAGGACTTTGAAACCAGCCTCGGCAGCATAGCAATACCCCTATCTCAAAAAATATATAATAAAAATAAAATTTAATATCCCTACTCTCTGAACTTAAGCAGCCAGTATATATCATGAACAAAATCTATAAATTCTCTGGTCCCTTTTGAAATTAATTATTCTTCATATTTTTCCCTCAGAGACTTATATAGTTTATAACAATTATTCATAGACTTACATGGACAATACTAACCAAGTATAATAATTGCTTTATTAATGAAGCAAACTGAATATATCAGAATACTAAGGACTACTAAGCTGACTTCAATTATTATAAAATTGTGACTACATATCTTATGATAAAATAAATATGAAATTGACCAGCTTAACCATTTTTAAGTAGACAGTTCTGTGGTATTAAATCCATTCATAATGTGCCACTCTTACCACCATCCATCTCTATAACTCTTCATCTTGTAAAACTAAAACTCTGTACCCATTAAACAATTACTACTCATTCTTCCCTCTCCCCTGCCTCTGGCATCCACTATTCTGTTTGCTTTCTTTCCTCTATGATTGACTACTCTAGGTACCTCTCGTATAAAGAGAATCATAGAGTATTTGTCTTTTGGAACTGGCTTATTTCACTTAGCATAATATCCTCAGGGTTCATCCAGGTTGTCACATATATCAGAACATCCTTGCTTTTTGAGGCTGAATGATGTTCTATGGTACATATATACCACATTTTGCTTATCCATTCACGCACTGCTGAACACTTGGGTTGCTTCCACATTGTAGCTATTGTGAATAATGCTGCTGTGAAGATGAGTGTACAAGGAGCTCTTTGAGACCCTGTTTTCAGTTCCTTTGGGTATATACCCAGAAGTGGAATTGTTGGACCATATGGTAATTTTATTTTTAATCTTTTGAGGAACTGCCACACTGTTTTCCACAGCAGCCAACCAGTTTACATTCCAACCAATAGTGTACAGATGTTCTAGTTTCTCCACATCCTTCTTAACACTTATGATCTGTTATTTTGGTAGTGGCATCCTAATGGGTGTGAAGTAGTATCTCATTATAGTTTTGATTTGAATTTCTCCAGTGATTAGTGATGTTCAGCATCTTTGCATATGCCTGTTGGCTATTTGGAGATCTTTAGAGAAATTCTATTCAAGTCCTTTCTCATTTTTGAATTGGGTTGTCGATTTCTTTTTGTTCAAACTATATAGTTTGAATATTAATTCCTTATCAGATATATGATATGAAAGTGAAAAGCCATGTCTGTGGGTTATGTTTTTACTCTGTTGACTTTGTCTTTTCAAGCACAAAATTTTTTAAATTTTCATGAAGTCTAGTTGTCTATTGTTTTTTTTGTTGTTGTTGCCTGTTCCTTTGGTATAATATCCAGGAAATTATTTCCCAATCTAGTGTTGTGAAGGGTTTACTGTATCTTTTCTTCTAAGGGTTTTTTTTTTTTTTTTTTAATAGTTTTAGGTCTTACATTTAGGTCTTTGATTCATTTTGAGTTAATTTTTGTATATGCTGTTAAAGAAGTATCCAGATTCATTCTTTTACATGTGAATATCCAGTTTTCCCAGCAATGTTTATTGAAAAGATTATCCTTTCTCTATTGAATCATCTTGGCCCCTTTGTCAAAAATCATGTGACCGTATATGTGAAGGAAGGTTTCTCGGCTGTCTATTCTATCCCATTGGACTGTATGACGGTCTTTGTGCCACACCATATTGTTTTGATTACTGTAGATTTGTAGTAAGTTTTGAAGTCACGAACTATGAGTACTTTGTTCTTCTTTTTCAAGCTTGTTTGGCTCTTTGAGGTCCCTACAGATTTTCTATGAATTTTAGAATAGGTTTTTCTGTTCTGTAAAAAACATTGGGATTTTGATAGGGATTACAACGAATCTGTAGATTGCTTTGGGTAGTATGAACATCTTAAAAACATTAGTCTTCTAATCCATGAACATAAGACGTGTTTCTATTTATGTCATCTTTAATTTCTTTCAGCAGTGTTTTATAGTTCTCATTTCACCTCCTTGGTTAATTGCTAAGTGTATTCTTTTTGATGCTGTGGAATTGTTTCTGTAATTTCCTTTTCATATTGTTCATTGTTAGTGCCTAGAAATACAACTGATTTTTGTGTGTTGACTTTGTATCTTCCTACTTTGCTGAATTCATTTTCTCTATTGGTTTTTTTGAGTGGAATCTTTAGAGTTTTCTATGTATGAGATTGTATTATCTGTGAACATAGATAATTTTACTTCTTCCTTTCTACTCTGGATGACCTTTATTTCTTTTCCTGTCCAATTGCGCTGGCTAGAACTTCTAGTGCTGTTTAGGAGTGGTCAAAGTGGGCATCCTTGTCTTCTTCCTGATATTAGAAAGGAAAAACTTTCAGTCTCTCACCATTATGATGTTCACTGTGTGTTTTTCATGTGTGGTTTTTATGTTGAGATCATTTCCTTCTATTCCTAGTTTGTCAAGTGTTTTTATTATGAAAGGGCATTGAATTTTGTCAAATGCTTTTTCTACATCAATTGAGATGAGCGTGTATTTCTTTTCTTTCATTCTGTTAATGTGTTATATTACATGGATTGATTTTCGTTTGTTGCATTCTGGGAGTAAATCCCACTTGGTTATGGTGTATAATTATTTTAATATCCTGCTGAATTTATTTTGTTAGTATTTTGTTGAGGATTTTTACATCATTATTCATACGGGATATTGGTCTGTAGGGTTTTTTTTCTGCCGCCTCCTCCGCCCCCTTCTCTCCCGCTCTCCCTCCTCCCTTTCTTCTCTTTCTCCTTCTCCTTCTCCTTCTTCTTTCTTCTCCTTCTCCTCCTTCTTTTCCTCCTTCTCCTCCTCTTCCTGCTCCTTCTTCTTCTACTCCTTCTCCTTCTTTTCCTTCTTTCTTCTTCTTTTTCTTCATCTTTTGCCTGACATTGGTAATCCTGGCCTCAAAGAATGAATTAGTGTTCTCTCCTCTTCAATTTTTTGGAAAATTTTGAGAAGAATTGGTGTCATAAATACTATCTTAAAATTAGTGTCAATCTGGCATATTATGTATCATAGTTTTTACTGTGTAGTAAGTGATCTTCCAAATAGTTTGTAATGCTTGCTTTTAAAAGTGACACATTTCACAGGTGTCTAGCTACGTCTTTTAAACTGCTGCCAGGTATGTTCTTCCTTTTGTACCTTCTGAAATCTGTATAACCTGGGGTTCAACAAGGCTGTCAAAAGTTTTAAGGACTGATTCGATGAACTACATTAAAGCTATGCCTTCTACAAAATATGTGGCTAAGAAGTTAGTTTCCCTGACCCCAAGTCAGTTTCTGGGAGTGTCTTTGTCAACGAATACCCCATATGGTTCACAATTGATATGAAAGGGACGAAGGAGAAAAAGAACAGGTAATTGGACTCTGTGAAAGGAGAGAATGGGAGGTGATGGCATGTAAAGAAGAGAGGGGGAAGGAGACGTGTGTGTGTGTGTATATATATGTGTGTGTGTATATATATGTATTTTATTTTTCCTTTCCAATGTGTGGATATTTTTATTTCCTTTTTGTTGTTGTTGTTATTTTATGTTCTGGAATACATGTGCAGAACATGCAGGTTGGTTACATAGGTATGCAAATGCCATGGTGGTTTGCTGCACCCATCAACCTGTCATCTACATTGGGTATTTCTCCTAATGCTCTCCCTCCCCTAGCCCCCACCCCCCGACAGGTCCCAGTGTGTGATGTTCCCCTCCCTGAGTCCATGTGTTCTCATTGTTCAATTCCCACTTATGAGTGAGAATGTGCAGTGTTTGGTTTCCTGTTCCTGGGTTAGTTTGCTGAGAATGATGGTTTCCAGCTTCATTCATGTCCCTGCAAAGGACATGAACTCCTCCTTTTTTTATGGCTACATAGTATTCCATGGTGCATATGTGCCATATTTTCTTTATCCAGCCTATCATTGATGAGCATTTGGGTTGGTTTCAAGTCTTTGCTATTGTGAATAGTGCTGCAATAAACATACATGTGCATGTGTCTTTATAGTGGAATGATTAATAATCCTCTGGGTATATACCTAGTAATGGGACTGCTGGGTGAAATGGTAATTCTGGTTCTAGATCCTTGAGAAATTGCCACACTGTCCTCCACAATGGTTGAACTAATTTACACTCCCACTAACAGTGTAAAAGCGTTCCTATTTCTCCACATCCTCTCCAGCACCTGTTGTTTCCTGACTTTTTAATGATCGCCATTCCAACTGATGTGAGATGGTATCATTGTGGTTTTGATTTGCAGTTCTCTAATGACCAGTGATAATGAGCTTTTTTTTCATGTTTGTTGGCTGCATAAATGTCATCTTTTGAGAAATGTCTGTTCATATCCTTTGCCCACTTTTTGATGGGGTGGTTTGTTTTCTTGTAAATTTGTTTTTAGTTCTGCCGCATAAATAAACATCTTCTTTTGAGAAGTGTCTGTTTATATCCTTTGCCCACTTTATGATGGGGTTGTTTGCTTTTCTGTAAATTTGTTTAAGTTCTTTGTAGATTCTGGATATTAGCCATCTGTCAGATGGATAGATTGCAAAAATTTTCTCTCATTCTGTAGGTTGCCCGTTCACTCTTATGATAGGTTCTTTTGCTGTGCAGAAGCTCTTTAGTTTACTTAGATCTCATTTGCCGTTGCTTTTGGTGTTTTAGTCATGAAGTCTTTGCCCATGCCTGTGTCCTGAATGATATTACCTAGGTTTTCTTCCAGGGTTTTTCTAGTTTTAGGTCTTATGTTTAAATCTTTAATCCATCTTGAGTTAATTTTTATATAAGGTGTAAGGAAGGGGTCCGGTTTCAGTTTTCTGCATATGGCTAGCCAGTTTTCCCAACACCATATTAAATAGGGAATGGGAAAATATTACATGAAGCCGGCAAGCTTAGGCTTTCTTGCTGAAGGCTACCAACACCTGCCTTTACTTATCTGCTGGACAGCAACATTGTTTGATTGTTTTTAGCTAACCAACCCATCTTGGTCGCTTAATCCTAAAGCTTCTGGTGCTTCACTAACTGCAAAAAAAAACTTTTAAAAATTGTTTTTAAAATAGTGACTTTGATGATAGTTGAATCTGTGTGTATTTTCTGTAGAAATATGCCAATTATGCCTATTGGGAGCTTAATCAGAGTCTTGTTTTTAATTATTCTGCTATTTATACCCTTTCTTTAAAATGAGCAATTGTGATCTAAAGAGGTGATTTCATTGCTTACTCATTTAACAATTTCAAAAATGTGGAAAATGAGTTATAGAAAAGAGTTTTAAGGAAAAATTAGGAAGATCTCCGTTGTCTTTTTTTCCCCCCCTAGGATCTGTGGTTGTGGTTCCGGAGAATCCGGTTGTGCTGTGTGTGGATGTTGCAAGGCCTGTGCAAGAGAGTTAGATGGTCAAGAGGCAAGACAAAGAGGAATTCTTGATGCAGTGAAAGAAATGATACCTTTAGATCTTCTTTTAGGTAATTTTGATTGATTATACTATGCTACACTGAGTTGTCTTCAACTCATTAAGTCTGAGAGTTTAAACAATTTCTTTTAGGTATATGTTAAAAAATTAAGATAATAATTAATGTATGCAATACTGCTCTTATGGTAACTGACAATATGACATTGTTTAAGGGATGAGATTCTTTTTTTTTTTTTTTTTTGAGGTGGAGTCTTGCTCTGTTGCCAAGTCTGGAGTACAGTGGCTGAATCTCAGCTCACTGCAACCTCTGCCTTCTAGGTTCAAGTGATTGTCCTGCCTCAGCCTCCCAAGTAGCTGGGAATACAGGTGCCCACTACCATGCCTAATTTTTGTATTTTTAGTAGAGACAGGGTTTCACCATATTGGCCAGGCTGGTCTTGAACTCCTGACCTCAGGTGATCTGCCCGCCTCTGCCTCCCAAAGTGCTGGGATTACAGGTGTGGGCCACCATGCCTATCCAGAATGAGATTCTTTTTCCCTTTTTGGCTAAGAATTCTTAAAGTAAAAATATTGTGTGTTTTAGACAATGTTTTTGCTATCTTTTCTTTCTTGAATTTTAAGTAGTTCTGTTATAGTTATTATATAACATGTATGTTGTTGTTATTTTTTTTGGCCAATCCTCTAGCTGTCCCAGTGCCCGGGGTTAACATTGAAGAACACCTTCAGTTACGACAAGAAGAAAAACGGCAACGTGTAATCAGAAGGCACAGATTAGAGGAAGGAAGAGGTAAGATGTAGCTACAGAGAAAAAGTACATGAAAATCCACTTTCCTACCCTATCCTGAAACCACTGAAAAGTTCACACAATAAACTAATTTTGGGTAAGAAATCATCAAAATTAAAATTAGTAATATTCTGATAACTCATGAATATAATGTGAAAATATTCAAGGTATTCATAATTGTTCAATAACATATGTTGAAGGTATTTATAATTGTGCTAGTAGCATATGTTTAATTCAGCAGAGTATTTATGGTGTAAGTCACCATATTAAGTTTTGTGCCATCTGCCAAGTATCAGTAACTATTAGAAATGGCTACTTTTTAAAAATAGATATTCTCACAACTTGTCCTTCACCCAGACTTTGGACTCATCTATTTGACCGTGGAACAAAATTCAGTTTAGTCTTTTCACTTCTGTTTTCTTTTTTTTTTTTTTTTTTTTGAGACGGAGTCTCGCTCTGTCGCCCAGGCTGGAGTGCAGTGGCCGGATCTCAGCTCACTGCAAACTTTGCCTCCCGGGTTTACGCCATTCTCCTGCCTCAGCCTCCCGAGTAGCTGGGACTACAGGCGCCCGCCACCTCGCCTGGCTAATTTTTTTGTATTTTTTAGTAGAGATGGGGTTTCACCGTGTTAGCCAGGATGGTCTCGATCTCCTGACCTCATGATTCGCCCGTCTCGGCCTCCCCTGTTTTCTTATTCTTTTATGCTCCTTATCATTTGGGCATAGTCCTACTATGCTTCCCTCCAGATCAGTGCAATGCTTTCGTGTGTCTTTTTTTGGAAAAAGCTCGTTCTAGTTATGTACAGGAAGGGTAAGATGGCAGGTCTGCAGGTTTTATTTACAAAGATAGGTCTATTGTTTATCTTTTCCTCATTGTTTATGATAATTTCTTAGCTTAAAAATACATTTAACTGGCCAGGCATGGTGGTTCACGCCTGTAATCCCAGTGCTTTGGGAGGCTGAGTTGGGCGGATCACGAGATCAAGAGATGGAGACCATCCTGGCCAACATGGTGAAACCCCATCTCTACTAAAAGTACAAAAAAATTAGCTGGGCATGGTGGTGTGCACCTGTAGTCCCAGCTACTCAGGAGGCTGAGGCAGGAGAATCACTTGAACCCGGGAGGTGGAGGTTGCAATGAGCTGTGATCACACCACTGCACTCCAGCCTGGTGACAGAGTGAGACTCCATCTCAAAAGAAAACAAACAAAAAAATTTTTAACTGTGGTTATAATTGGTATTTGAATACGCAGAGATAAATATATGTATTACTAAAGATTTCCTTGCTCAGTAAATTTTTTTTTTTGTACAATTAAGACAAATTGTTATGGAGGTCTGTGATTTTATTCTTCCACTAGGCAAAATTTTGATTAGAAATGTTTACTGATACTGCATATTTTAAATGCTTATTAGATACGGCATGATATTTGATGTGTGAAATAAACCTTTTACCCATTTAACCATCATTATACATTTTTTTCTAGCTATTGTTTTTGTTAATATATGGAATAAGTAGTAAAATGTATGACACACATGGTGAATTCTAGTTTTATTAAACTTAGATTGTAAAACATACTTGGCATATGAAGAGTGTTCTTCGTAGCATCTGATAAGTGAAGTTGATTGAAAAGGTGAAAATTTACTACTGTTTGGCTTTGCTTGCATAATGTTCTTTAAAGGATATTTTAATGAGATTAATATAGATACTGTCAGTATTTACATTATATAAGTATGTGGGAAAATTGCATGTTAAATGTTTCCTACAAAACAGGATAGAATTAAGTTTCTGACATGTGGTAATTAATACTTTTTTATGTTGATATAATTTTTTAAGATTAGTTATCATTATATCTATTCACTACCTGTTTTTTCTTTCTTTAGAAATATTAGGTTGAGCGACATGAATGGACCTACAAAATGCAGCTATCTCTTATGTTTAAACTACAGTATAGCACATCCTTACACTTAATTATTCACAGTTAATTACTTGCCAAATGCTGTTTATCTTGTTACTCTTTTTCTCTTCCCTCCTAAAAAAGCTATTCTTCTCTAGGTATAGTGTATTTGTGCATATAGGAAATAAAGGAACATTGAATTGTGCATTGGTAACTTAACATAACTTGGTGATTGTGGAATATTCTTTTGCCATTTATTTTTAAATTTGACATAAACCTGTGAAACATAATTGTAAACACTAACCCTTTAAAGTTAAAAAAAATCTTCAACTAGTTAAATATTTAAAGAAATTATGTTGTTGTATCAGAATTTCCAAAGATAGATTGAGGTGCTAGGCACTTAGTGTATATTTTGTGACAAATAGGTTTCATCTGCAGTCCTAAATATGTAGAACATCTGTAGAAACACTTTATTCAGATTATTGGTGCACATAAATTTTGTCTTGTCCTTATTTTTTGGTAGAACTCTTTCTTACACAGATCACCCTCCTTCATGTTTGTTAAAACAATATGTAGTGAATATCTTTTCTTGATGAGTGGAATCTTCAGTGTGAACCTCAATTATGGCAGTCCTTGCTTTCCATGGTACTGAGATTAACAGAAATTTGTGCACATTGGAACCATGTCCTCCCCTTTCACAGTCAACACAGTTACCTAGAATCATGCAAAAGGAGGACAGAGTTCCCATATGCCTGTGTTTCAGTTAACACAGCACTATGCAAAGTGATGCCTGCTTGTATGTTTTGTTTGTTTGTTTATTTATTTATTTTGACATAGAGTCTTGCTCTGTTGCCCAGCCTGGAGTACAGCAGCACAGTCTTGGCTTACTGCAACCTCCCCTTCCCAGGTTCAAGCGATTCTCCTACCTCAGCCTTCTGAGTAGCTGGGACTACAGGTGCCCGCCACCATGCTCAGCTAATTTTTGTATTTTTAGTAGAGGCGAGGTTTCACCATGTTGGCCAGGCTGGTTTCGAACTCCTGACCTCAAATGAACCACCTACCTCAGCTTCCCAAAGTGTTGGGATTATAGGTGTGAACCACTGCGCCCAGCCTATTTTATTTTAAACAAATATTTTTGCATTTGGACAAGAATTCTAACTGTGTATTCATTTTTTAAAAAATCAAACTTCAGAGTCATTCAGTGACTTTGAAAATCCTTATACTGTATTAAGTAATTAAAAAACTATTGTGATATGACACTTTTATGATTTTATATTATTCTTAGGACTCCATTAAGCAATTTTATTTAAAAACACATTTTTATAAGAAAACAAAATTAGATGAATATGATATACCCACACTCCCATAGGGATAAAACAAGAAAGATAAATACCAAAATATTAACAATGCTTTTTCCTGACAGATGAGTTTATAGATGATTTTTTATTTTCTTCTTTACAATTTGTTTCCTAAATATTCTCCAATAAGCATATTAGTGTGTAAATAGAGTAAAAGTTATGTTTTATAACTAAAGCCATTTAAAAAAAAATACTGATTAGGTTTAAGGCATCTATAGTTTGCTTACCTTTGCTTTTTAAGAAATATTTTTATTTTAGTTGGATAGAGGAATCTCTTTCAGGTGCTGTGCTTTTCATTACTTTTGGGCCATGGTTCTCAAGTTGTTCTCAAAGGGACCAGCATCACTTGGGCACTTGTTACGAGTACTCAGGCCCCACTCCAGATCTCTACTGAAGCAAAAACTGGAGGAGTACAGCCAGTAAACTGTGCTTTAATAGTGTTCCAGGTGATTCTGATGGTCCCAAAGTGTGAGACTTAGTGCGCTAAGTCAGTTGTTTGCACTTTGCGGTTTTATCCATTGACCTTCTGTATCAGAAACACCTGGGCCTAATGAATCAGAATTTATGGGTCAAGGGCCTTGGAAACAGATTTGAGTCACTTGCACAGTGTTCTAAGGCTCTTCTCTGGCACTGTGCTAGAAAAGATGGTATTGGCTTTGCTCCCATAAGGAATAGAAACATCAAATAAAATTTTAGTTTTCCAATTGCCATACATACATGTCTTTTATTTCTTTGGCCTGTTGATACTTTTTAGAAACTAATAATTTAGTAGTATGTTAGTAATTATACTTGCTAGTAATTGGCTTTTACCTGTGTTAACATTTCAGAATTTAAGAATTAGATTATGTTAGATTATTTTACTTGACTTTTCTGTCTTATTTACCAAGTCTGATCTAAATTTTTCATAGTTGATCAGAACTTTGGGCTCTAGTTCTTTTTTTTTTGAGTCAGTGTCTCACTCTGTTGCCCAGACCGGGGTGCACTGGTACGATCTCGGCTCATTGCAACCTCTGCCTCCCAGTTTCAAGCAATTCTCCTGCCTCAGCCTCCCAAGTAGCTGGGATTATAGGCATGCACCACCACACCTGGCTAATTTTTGCATTTTTAGTAGAGAAGGGGTTTCACCATGTTGGCCAGGCTGGTATCAAACTCCTGACCTCAGGTGATCGGCCTGCCTCAGCCTCCCAAAGTGCTGGGAGTACAGGTGTGAACCCCTGAACTCAGCGTGGGCTCTAGTTCTTGTACTAAAGCCTTGCTCAGACAGCCTCAGGCCTGTTGACGTAATTTAGTTACTGTTTTATCACACCAGGTCTCCTATAATGGAATGAGCTATTGAAACCCAAAAAAGCAATGTTATTACTGCTTTTTCATAAATTTTGAACTTTGTCTTTAATTTTAAATCTTTGTTATTAATATTCTAGTTAATTTTTTTCTTCAATTTATCTTTTTAGGTATTAATAGTATTCATTTATAGATTTTAGTTCAATGGTTTGTGATAATTTTTTAGATTATATTGGGTTGGTTAATGTATTAATTAAACTGTGTAAGTGAAGTGCTTATTCAGTGAAATTCTTAAGTAGGGCTCTTGAAGTCATCAGAAGAACTAATGGATGATTATATTAATGATTTAATCTTTATATTCCTTATCAGCACTCTGTTTCATAAGGAAAATTAAACTCCAATAATGTTAGCTTTTTCTTCTTTCTTCTAAGTATCCAAGTTTCATAATTATGAGCTGTGGATGGGCTAAA